GCTCTTATCTTATTAGGATGTCTGGGGAGTAGGCAGGGGAAGCTCAAGTGCAATGCTGTTGTTATTAATATCCCCAAAGGCCAACGGACCAAACAGTAGCCAGATTAACTAAGGACATACCACGGTCTAGGCACCGAAGTAAGCACTTCGCAGGTATTAACTCATTTAATCCTCACGACAACTGTGTGAGGTCACTGCTGTTACGATCTTCACGTACAGAGAGAAAGCTGGGGCACAGAACAGTTAAATGACTTGTCCACCGTCTTACAACCAGGAGGTGACAGGATTCGAACCCCGGCGTTCTGAACCCTGAATGCACTTTCGGCCACAGTATGAGCACTTGGTGGGCATTTGCGGAGTCACTGACTGGCCGACACGCAGGCGTGGGGCAGGGCGGAGGGCACCAGGTCTGCTCTTTTCACCTGGATTTGGGACTGAAGTCAGCAGCCTGGCATCCGAGGGCCTCTCGGCTCGGGCTCCTCCTCTGTCTGCCAGCCACCTCGCCCTGCACAGGCAGCCCAGACATGACATTGCTGGGGCCCTTGCCTGGATGCCTTGGCTAATAATCCCTGCCCCCTGTGGGAATCTGGCCTCTCCTTGCCATGTCCATCAAGGTCATTCGGTGCGGCCTGGCTGCCGGCTGCTCCCAAGGCACTGGGCCAGGTGTACGTAGGCCTCTTTTTCCACCCTGCTTCCTCTGACCTTCTTGAATAATTTGTGATTAAGAACATGGACTCCAGGGTCAGACTACCTGAGTGACAATCCTGGCTCTGCTGTGTGGCCTTGGGCGTGTTTCTTAACCTCCCTGTGCCTCATTTTTTCATCTCTACAATGGAAAATAAGGCAGATTGCTGTAAGGGTGGCTATGAGGGTTAAATGACCTACACAGAACATGTAAAAGCCTTAGAACTGTAGTACATCTCAAACAACATACAAGCTTTTGTGAATATTATTATTTATATTCTGACCCACACATTCCGATGGATGAGGGAGGGGGGGTTGGCAGGGCACAGTGATGATGGCCTGGAGTCGGCCTCCCTGAAAACCAGAGCTGAGCTGCCAGGACACCCCCTTGCGCTCATTTGAAGTCATCCATGGTTGGGGAGAGGCTGGGACAGGGTACTCCCCGGCACCCTGGTTCCTGCAGATCCTGTGTGAGTGCTGTCTCACCCTGTACTGTGTCTGAAAGCCAACATCAATGCATTCAACACTTCGTGCTCAGGTGCACTTGACCACAGGCACAGCTTTCTACTTGATGTATTTAAAAAATCTTTGCCCAAGTTGTTTATGCACATAAGGGTCACTCAGCTCTCTAAGGCTCCTTACAAACGGCAGCTTCACTCAGCAGACACGATCACATTCAATTGCCATGACAGGATTTTCTGGTGCCTCTGGCCACCACTGATAATTCCAGTCTTTCCTAACCCTAACCCCAGCCCTCCCCTACATAATCTCCAAATTTTGTTTTGGCTAGATAGAAATGGAACCTGACCTTGTAAAAGCACTGACATCAAGATTGAGCCATTTGGTAAACTAGGATTGTTTTTGATTCCCCTTGCACTGTGTTTTATTCTCCCTGGAATTGATGATGGTCCATTTGGTTGTTTTCTTAATTTTCTATGCACTTAGAACTAATTTGGGGGGCTTCTCACTTTATAATAACAATAATAGCTAACACCTACTGGGCACCTTCTACGTGCCGGACCTCGCTAAGTACTCTCCACGTGTTAACTCATCTAACCCTTACGACGGCCCCCTGAGGTCTCACTGCTATGATCTCATTTTCCAGATGAAAGAATTGAGGTGCAGGGAGGGCGAGCGACTTTCCCACGATCCCGGAGCCAGCAAGTGGCAGAGCCGGGATGTGAACACGGGCTTTGCCCACTGCAGGGCCCGTGCCACCTGGCCCCTGGCAGCACACCTTGCTGCCATCTCCTCCGGGCCCCTCCTCGTCCTCGTGCCCTTTTTTGTCTCAATAGCTGAACCGTATGCTGGGCGAGGACAGGCCCCGTGTCCTGCGCCTCTGCAAACCTGGAGGCAGCACCGGACCCAGAAGACCTCCCGGGACTTGACAGGTTGGTCCTGCCTCGGGCTGCCTTACTTGTCCAGAGCTCCTTCCCCTGGGCCTCCCAGGTGGGAGGCAGGGCTGAGAGTGTGGCTGGTGTGGTTCCAGCCAGGCCTTCAGAGGCTCAGAAAGGCTGAGTAATTGTCTCGGGACTTCACCGCCAGGGGACAGGGGCCTGAATCCAAGGCTGTTCCTAATATGCTAGGCTGCCTCCTACAGGCACGTACAGACCACACAAATTATACACACTGACATGCAAACACATATGCACATTATTCACATCTGCTAATTAGGCACTCACATTTGCACACGAGTATATTATATACACACATATACAGATACAATTGCACTTCACATACACATCCATACACACACTTATATGTAATACACAGGCATGCCAATTACACACAGGTGTATATATCCACAACCATATATTAGCACAGAAACACATTATACAAACACATAGGACCTTACTTACAAACACAAACCCATGTACATTATATACTCATACATACAGCATGTACACACATCATACAGGCAAAACACACATAAACATGCAAATACATGCACACACAAACACACCACCCTAAAGAACACACAGATATCTTCACATGTTAACACACATGGTTTGTACACAACACACATGTGAATAAACAAACATGACACCATGCAAACATGTGCACATAAACATGTGCACAACCATTGGTGCGAAAACACTCCCACACTTCCGTGCACACACAAATACACACATGTGCCTGCCCGACCTGGTTTGCAGGGCCAGCCATGGGTGAAGGCCTGCGTCCAGGTCCTGCAGCCATCAGCCGAGTTGGGGCGGGTGGGGTTCCTGGCCTCCCTCTCCGGGTTAATCACAGTGCCCCTCCCTGGGACGGAGCTGGGCAGCAGCTGCCTTACATCAGCAGCGGGGACTCGGGGAGTGCGGCCCGTGGAGGGAGGAGGGTCTGCCAGATCTTCCGCCTTGCTCTGGGTCCCCACCCAAGGCTGGCACTGACCGCACTCCCGGGGAGGCTCGAGAAGCTGCGAGATTGGGCCTTTTCACAAATGAGATGATGGAGGCTTAGACAAGCGAGTTAACTTTTGTGAAAGCCTGTTCAAGGAGAGAGGGCATTTGAATCAATCTGTCAGAACCCAAAGCCACCACGGCATGCTGACCCACAGGCTGAGAGCTCAGGCTGCCCGTACCGAGGCTGTGCGCACAGTAGGCGCTACGTGGGTATGTGTGGAGTGGACGAGGCCATTGATCTGCGGGACACCAGCACTCTAAGGCCAGGGGTCTGACAAGCATTTGGGGGCTCCAGGCAACTAGATGCAGAACTCCGAGGCAATGGAGACCTGCGTGTTTGGGGGCCCTGCTTTCATCACCCTCAGCCCAAACATCCAGCCTCAGCGTCTACAGGGGGCCACCAGCCCAGGGAGGCCCTTCCACCCCCCCACTGCCCCGCCCCAGAGGCCCTAGGCTTGGTCCCTTCCTCTCCTCCTTCCCCAGCCCGGTCTCCCCACCACCAGCGGCACTCCCCAGACACATTCCTCTCCCTCAGACATTCATTTCAAGGGCTCGGCAACTTCTTTGCAGGATTTGATTTGCCGCTCAGGCATTTCCTCGAGTGGCCCCTTGGTGTTCGTCCTCGTCCAGATGGCATCCAGATGCAAACACCCGCCTCCCCCCAGCTCTGGCGCCTCAGCTGCGGAAAATTAATTCTGACCCCCACCTCACACCCACCTCCCGCATCACTGGCTTTGTTTCTTGAGCCTGAGGTCAGGCCTCTCAGGCTCACACCTCCGCCTGCTCCTTTCTCTCCAAAGCCAGGGCTTCTGGCTGTCTTATTCTCTGCCCCGCTCCCCAGGCTTTGTTCAATTCAACAGGTAGCTGCTCTGGGAGCCAAAGCAAATGTCAGCATGGTGATGAGGGCGGCGAGATGCAGTTGTGGCCCTGGCAAGAAGGGGGAACAGGGTGTGTGACTGGGTTCAGGGAGCAGGTGTTGCACCCTGAACCCCCAGCTCAGGTCCGTAGAAATGACCAAATCCAGATGAGGAAACTGAGGTGAGAGCCGGTACAGATAACGATCGTGCTGATAGTTCCAGACCAATGCCCATGTGCAACAGCTACCACATCCACGGTCCTGCTCATTTAGTCCTGTGAGCTGGGTATGATTATACCCATTTTACTGATGAGAAGACTGAGGCTCACAGAGGCTTAGTAACACATACAAGACCACATAGCTATTTAAGTGGCAGAATGTGGCTCCAAACCAAAGACCTCCACAGCCCACGGGGCCTGTGGTGGGGCCTGGCTGGGTCAGCAGCAGGGACAAGTCCTTAGGTGCTCTCTGCTGTGCCCCGTCCTGACACAGGGACAGCCTCCCTGGTGAGAAACTTGTCCAGGAGCCTGAGGGACAGTCCTGGGTAGGAATTCCTGTGCCTGGGGGAGCCGCACTCCTTCTCAGAGGCCAGGCCTCGGGCCTCCCAACTCTCTGTCCAGCGCCGACCTCAACCTCGTGGCAGGCTGCAGAGGCCAATCCCCAGCTGGCCGGCTCTCTGCTGCCCTGAGAGAGGTGGATGAGGCCCCTGCTGATCTCCACTCAAAGCCTCTGCTTCCCCTTAAAAGTTAATATTTGCACGCTCTCCACCATGCAGCTGCAATGCTGCTGTGGACACTAAAGTGGCCAGGAGGGCTCCCCTGGTCCCAGGGCCCCCTAAGTCCCTGCCAGACCCCCGGTGAGGCCCATTGGACTTCAGGCAGCCTGAACGGCGGGGCAGCCGTGCCGAGACCAGGTGGACTTTGCTCTTTTCACTGTGTACAGTCAAGCTTCCTTGACCAAAAAATGGGGCATTTGGCCCAGGCTCAAGGCTGCAGCGCATGCATTTCCTAGAACTACTGGGCCTCAAGTCCCAGGGGTGTGAGGGACGAGGGCCAGGCGCGCCGTCACCCTGCTAAAACTCGGGCAGCTGTGGAGAGGCCGACCAGGAGGACCTGCCCGGCCATACCAGGGTAGGCCTGCGGCGTGCAGACAGTGCCCTGGGCCCACGGGAAACATGCCCCCCCCTCCGGTCTCCCCAGGCCCAGACAACAGCAGAGCTGGACACACAGGGTGCATTGGGGACAGGGCTGGACCTGCTCACTCCCAACGCCCCCTTCAGGTGGACACCCAGGTTGCAGAGGGGTGCGTGCCAGCTCTGGAGAGACTCTGTCCTCTCCCTAGTCCCTTTCCTTTGCCTATTCTCCTCCCTTCCAGATTCTGAGGGAGCTTGTTTTGCAGCAGATGGACGGAAAACCTGAGGAATCCAGTAACTCTGGGCTGGGCTCCTCCCCCAGAGGGTCAGAGGTGCTGTTTTCACCTGGGAGCTGAGATGAACTTTGAACGCCACAGAGCTTCGGGGAGACCCCAGGCTGAGCGGAGGGAGAATCCCCGCCTGCAGCCATGGGGTGGCCAGCTCTGCGCCCTGGGGTGTCTGTCCTCAGGTGGGTGCTTCCTGCTGGAAGTGTATGAGCAAATGTCTGAGAATGACAGCGGTGGCCAGAAGGACAGGACATCATCTCCGGCTGCACGTCAGTGGCCAGGTGGCCTGGGAAGGGACGCGGGGGCCAGCATGCCAGATCGTACAGGTTAATGTTTGACCTGGGGCCATGTGTTTTTCCACTGGGTATTTTTATCCTCTGTACCTGGCAGTGGGCAGCCAGGGGCCCTCCTCCGTGGGCACAGAAAGGAGGGAGGGGGTGCCCTGCTGGGGCTGCTCTGGGCAAGGCAGGGCTGCAGATAAGTCGGAGGGGACAGCTTGGAGGTAACAGGCAGGGGAGAGAGAGAACAGGGTCCAGAGCGAGACAGCTCTCTTCGCCTCAGCCACATCCCAGCCCCGCCCCGCCCCCAGCCCCTAGCTCTCCTGTCCCTGAAAGGACCGGCGGAGGTAAGGGGAAGAACAAGCTGTGAGGGGAGACGAAGAGAACCTTTCTGGGGCCCACAACTCTTCAGGAAGGTTAAAGACGCTCTGCACCACTCCACCTGTGTTACTCTTGTTGGTGATGAATCACTCGCATACCCTGGACAACACGAGTTGCGCGATTTCTTCTTTCTGGACACACAATGGTCTTACTCAGATGGTGGGGAGTGAGTCAGAGCTCATGGGGCCATCCCATCCTTGACACCATTCTAACAGGGAAACACAGCCTGGCTCCCAGGGAGCCCCCAGTCTAAGGGGTGGGGCTGTGTCTTAATGTATGACGGGAACTGTTCCTCTGCATCTAAGCAGCTGCATTAATTAAAGACACTCCCTGGGTTGTATAGCTCTGGGCTTCCCCAGCCCTCACTGTCCCTCGGTTTCCTCCTCGGCAGTGGGAGAGTCTGGCCTGAGCTAACTTTATGAAGCTGTTTACAGCCCAGTGACCACAGAGCCCTTCTTGCCCCTGCTGGGGGTGTAGGGGAGGGAGGCCCCGGCGGCCGCTCAGCCTGGGGCCAGCTGCTGCTCTAGTGCCAGCCTTGCGAAGCCGCTTCCTTCCTGTCGGCCTTCCTGGACCTCCAGGTCCAGATGGGCTTTCAATTTATACCTGAATCTGGTGGGAAGTGGGTCCCCCCCAAACGTGCCCACCAGCTGGCCCCCAAATCACCAACAGCTCCTGCCCCAATGCTCAGCAACACTGTTCCGAGGCGAGCCAGGCAGGCTGGCCTCTGGCCCAGGGTCTTTCTCGGAGCTCCCCGGGGGTCCCTCTGGGGCAGGAGTAGGACTAGCCGGGGAAAACCAGTTCTCTCTGAGTGGCTCATGAAGGGCTTCCTGAAGTTGGCAAGTGAGGGTCCCCAGATCAAGGGGGGATAAGCCCTGCCGGAAGAGGAGAGCTGTCCGGGGATGGAGTCCCGGTTCTCTCACTGTCCTGCCATGATTGCCTTGGCGTGGGGTGTAGGAATGGGGCTGGGGGACAGAAGACTCTCACTTGGGTACAGGGGAGTGGGGCCTGGCCCTGGGCCTGCAGCCAGCGGAAGCTGCCTCTAACTGTGAGCTCAGTCTCTCACTGGGGGTGGAGCTTCCCGCCCCCAACCTGCCTTCCTGCAGGTCCTCCCCTCCCACTGTACGCTATATCCCCAGACTTGGCCACCTCTCTGTTCCCCAGCATGTGTTAGGCACTGGGTTAGGGTCGCTTACTCATAGGCCTCCTTCATTCCTCCATACAACTTGGGTGGTAGATTTCTTTATCCCCATTTTACAGATGAGGAAACCGGATAGCAGCATCGTTAAACAATTAACCCAAGGTCACACAGCATGGCTGGATTTAAACCTAAGTCTATCTGGCTCCCAGTTCAGCTGAGAAATGATATCAGCCTTGTATCCTGTGTATTTTAAGTCCCAGCTTTCTTATCATCTCTGTCTACCAGAGCCCTGTCCTGTTGGCCTAATTAAAGTTTGATGTAACCCACTCCTACAATCTACGGTCTCATTCTCACCACTTGGAAGTTCCTCCTAGTGTATAACCTTTGATGTCTCCTGCTGTCTCTTACCCTGAAATCAGGCATGGTGGAACAAACTGGGAGACATGGGAAAGGGGAGGGGGGAAAGAGAGGGAGAGAAATATTGATGTGAGAGAGAAATATGGACTGGTTTTATATGTGCCCCAACCAGGGGCTGAACCTGCAACCCAGGCACGTGCCCCGACTAGGAATTGAACCGGCAACCTTTTGCTTTGCATAATGACGCCCAACCAACTGAGCCACACTGGTCAGGGCTCCCAGTCTTGGACTCTAGAATTCCACAGGCATTCCTCTGTGGTTCTGAAGGGTGGGTTTCTCCCTTCAGATCCTGGCTGCAGAAGCAGGAGTCCCAGAGGCTAGGGGCAGAAGAGGCTCTGAATTTGTACTGGGAGATGGAGATGTTCTCTTGGGCCACCTCACAGAGAAGGCCTGGGCCCTGCCTGTGGACCCTTCCATCTCCTGCTGACTCCAGGACAGGTGAGGAACAAGCATGATGAATACGGAGACTATGAGACCCTCAGAGGGTTCTTGGCTTCTGATGCTGATTAATTCTTTGGGGGAATTTGAGGCTGTGTCCCTGAGGGCACCAAGAAGTCCTGGGCTCCGGAAATCCCCACGTGGCCCGCGCACCCCTGCAGAGAAAGAAGCCGAGGGGAAAGGACTCAGGCTTGCACCCATTCCCTGATGCGGGGGAGTCCGGTTCCTCCCCGGGTAAGAAGGAAGGGGGAATTCCAAAGACCTGGCTCCAGGGTCCTGGCATTGGACCCAGACCCTCCATTTCTTAGAAGACTGCTGCTTTCCGGGACAGCCCTCCTGACTTCTGGCCTCGCTGAGGGGGACACAGTTGAGGAGACACAGTTAGGCTCCTATGGCTCCCTGGCCTGAGAGATCGAATGGAGGAAGCTCCTTGGCCCTGAGCACTCCCGAACCCCCCTTCCAGGCTGCCTTACCCCCAAACCCCAGCACCAGGGGATAAGCCTGCCCCCCTCCCACAGACCACCTCTTCTTGAGAAGGGTGACTGGCTCACACCACTGTTGGGGGAGGGGCAGCCCGGCCTGACATTCTCCTCCAGGAATCCTGAGTCCCCTCACTCCCTGGTCACTGGTCGCTGGTTTTCTCTGCCCTGGGCTGGGGCCCATGAGAGATTCAGAGCAGGGACAGACAGCGGCCTTGGAGATAGGAGACACAGGCATGTGCGTGGACCACAGGCCAGGCGCCAAAGAGAACAATGAAAATAGCTAACATTCCTCCAGCCCTTCCAAAATGGGGCACTTAATACAGCTTGACCCACTTCACCCTCACCGTCACCCTATAAAATCAGAACTGTCGTGTCCACATTTTACAGATGAGGAAACTGAAGCTCAGAGAGGCTAAGCAACTGGCTCGAGGTCTTACCGCTCGGAAGCAGAACTGGAACGAGGTGGTCCACCCCAGAGACTGCATTCTTGCCTTCCACAGCTGCGCTGCCCACTACAGTAGCCACTAAACTCGTGGGACTATTTAACTCTGAAATAATTCAAATAAAATACAATGAAAACTTCAGTTCCTCAGTTTCACCAGCCACCTTTCAAGTGGCTAGTGGCTACCACCTTGGGCAAGGCAGATACTAAACATTTGGATCATTGCAGAAAGCTCCACTGAGCACCACCAGTCTGCAGTCTACTGCCTCCCAAGGACCGAGATTGAGCCGAGGAAAATCATCCTCCAGTTGACAGAATAAAATAATAATTAACAGTATGATAATATGGCTATAATTTACCAAGCTTCCTACGTGCCAGGCACAATGCCAAACTCATAATCCTTACTCAATCCCAGGCAGGGAAGGTTACCCAGGGTCACATAAGCCAGGGAATGAGTCCAGGTCTGAGTGACCCAGGTCCCATTGGGTCCTTCCCCCTCAGGCTCCACCCCCTGCTGTGCCCCCCAGAGTGTAGCAGGAGCCCCTGGAGAAAATAGGGGAGGGCAAATGCCGGCGTTTCGCAAGAACGGGGATTGACTAAATCAGCCCGTAATTAGCATCATCCTGTTTCCCCCAGCCTGGCTGACCAGAACATTGCGCTAATGAAGTCAAGGTTTCGGTTTTGAGCCCTACGAGCATCACTTCACAGAGAGAAAGCCTCACTCCCTGCCCTGAGGACTGCATCGCAGACATTGTGATTAGGAGACTGGGGATGATGTTTCAGTGCAGCTCGTGCCCTGCTCTCGGAGGCCCAGTGCAGGCCAAGTCGCTGTAGCAGGGGAAGGGCTGGGGAAGCAGCCTGTTTAATGCTCGTGGGCACACACCTTCTGGACAATGGGGTTGGAAGTATCTTCCTCCTCCAGAAAGGACGGGGTCGGCAGAGGCGAGGTTAGAATTTGAAGGAAAGATGCAAAAGGTAGAACAGAGCTTCTGAGACTTTATCTTCTGTAGAACTTTTGGGGGAGTTTAAAGGGAATTTTGAGGGCTTGACTTGGATCTGCCTTTACTATCCCATAAGGATTGTTCTATTGTCGGGAAAGACAGCTTCAATTTTGTGTCAACCTCCCCGTGTCATCTGGGGAGATAAGGCCAGTGAGTGGCAGGGGCAGACCGCTCAGCAGGGAGGGGCCCTCCTCCTCAGGCAGACCGGAGGTGATGAAGATGCAGTGCCTACCCAAGCCTGGGCACATGGAAGGTCTCAGGAGATGTTGGTTCATTTCAATGATCTCTTTCCTTTAAGCAACTTTTTCCTGGGCCAGCACACGGCCAGGTCTCGGGGGCTCTGATGATGTAAACATTCCGCCAAAGGTCTGACCCAGTGACTGGCTGTGTGATCAGGTTAATCCATGCTGTGCTATGGTAACCAATAAACTCTGAAATCTCAGTGGATTCAACCACAAAGATTTATTTCTTGCTCATACAATTTGGCCAAGTCAGACTGGCAGGGGTTCTGCTCCACATAGTCGATTAGGCACACTGGATGTCGGACCCATCAAATTCCAAGCCATGGCTTCCAGGGTTGTGCCTGCAGGGGCAGAAATGAGCAGGAGGGCTACCCCCCGGCTCTTAAATGCCTTGGTACAGAAATAACAGACAGCATTTGCATTCACAGCCTATTGGCCAGAACTAGTCCTGTGGTCCCACCTAATGGGGAGGGGCTGGTGAGTGTGGGGGTGCACGTGCATATGTCGTGTGAGTAGTAAGTGTCTCTGCCACTCCACGACCTGCCCTCTCAAACCGCCCCCTTTGTTTCCCATAAAAGGACTCCGAAGTATCTTATAGTTCTGGGATTCCAGGTCTTCGTGGAATAGGATAACAATAACACAAATGTTTCTTAAGTACCTTACCTAAATGCTGATAGTTCTCAGTTATGTTTAACCCTGCCCTTTCAGAGATGAATGTGATATTGTTTAAACTGAACTGGGTATCATTTTAAAATATCAAAAGTGAGTTGACAACTTGGTTTAAAAATGGGCAAAGATCTGAACAGACAGCTGATCAAAGGATATACACAGGTAACAAACAAGCATATGAAAAGATGCTCACTGTTGCCTGGCCTGTGTGGCTTAGTGGATCGGAGCATTGTCCCATAACCGAAAGTTCGCAGGTTTGATTCCGGGTCAGGGCACGTGCTTGGGTTGTGGGTTTGTTCCCCAGCCCAGGTGTGTACAGGAGGCAACCAATTGGTGCTTCTCTCTCACACCGATGTTTCTCTCCCCCTCTACTAGTAATTAAAAAATATCCTCAGGTGATAATTTAAAAAGAAAGAAAGAAAGAAAGAAAGAAAGAAAGAAAGAAAGAAAGAAAAGATGCTCACTGTTATTTGTCATTATGGAAATAAAAATTAAAACAACAATGAAAAACCACTATATACTTATTAGAATAGCCACCCCCTCCCACCCCACCCCCCAAGTCAACAGTGTCAATTGCTGATGAGGATGTGGAACAACAGACTCTCATTCATCACCGATGGGAATGCAAAATAGTGTGGACTCTTTGGAAAAGGCTTTGGAAGTTTCATATAAAACTAAAGATAGTCTTAACATGTGATTCAACAATTGCTCTCCTAGGTATTTACTCAAATGATTTTAAATTTACGTTCACTCAAAAACCGCTGCTATTTATAGCAGTGATTTATTCATAATTGCCAAAAATGTAATTGCCAACATAACCAAAATGTCTTTTAATAGAGGTGTCCTTTAAGAGAAAGAAACTGTGGTACATCCACGTAATTTGACACAATTTAGCAATAATAAGAAATGAACTATCAAGCTACTGAAAGACATGGATGAATTTTGAATGTACATTTTGAGGTGAAAGAAGCTGGGCTGAGGAAGCTACATACTATACGGCATTCTGGAAGGCAAAACTATAGCGATGGCGAACAGATTGGTGGTTGCCAGGGATTTGGAGTGGGGGGAGGGCTGACTAGGGGCCCCACGGGGGTTTCTTAGGGTGATGGGACTCTTCTCTGTGAACGGAGACGGGGGGGGGGTACATGATACTATGACTACAAAGCCCACAGAACTTTAGAGCATAAAGAGTGATCCTTGATGTATGCAAATTTTTTAAAATCTGGATGTTGACAGATGACAGGATAGACTGCAGAACAGGACAAAAGAACCTAACTGTGCTACAAAAGTATAAACCACTTCATTGAAACGGGTAGAGAGAAAGACACTAAGTAACTGGAAATGAGTGGTCTGTAAGACCAGGACTAAGGACACGACAGAGCACCGTTGACTCTAGTTGACTCCATTGTTTCCCGTGAAAATACAGGTTAACAATGAAAGAATATACATGTATACTGGAAATCAGCAATTAAGTAGGTGGTGGGCAGAGGGTGGGAGCCGCTATTCGGGTGAAAGATTACAGACAAGTAAGGGGAGGAGGCAGAAGGCTAGTGCGATCCCTGTGGACTAGAGTTGGGACATCGGTATGAACTCCTGGTCAGCTTAAAGTAGGTATGGGTGGCTCTGCAAGACACACCTGCAGAAATGTGTAGATACATGGTTAGCACAGGTGTGTCTTTTTTTATTGCACTTTGCTTTATTGCACAGATAAAACAGATATTGTTATCTGTTCATTTATTTTTATAAATTAATATTGTTATCTATTTATTTATCTTTATAAATTAAAGGCTTATGAAAACCCTAAGTCAAACTAATCTACTGGCGTCATTTTTCCAGTAGGTTCAGATGATGATTAGCATTCTATGCCAATTAAGTATTTTCCAATAAATATTTTTAATTAAAAGGTGTACATTGCGTTTTCAGACGTAACGCTGTTGCGTGCTTTACAGACTGCAGCACAGTGTAAACATAACTTTCCTGCGCGCTGGGAAACCCAAACATTCACGTGACTTGCTTCATTGCCCGGGCCTGGAACCGCACCTAATACCCCCCAGGCAGGCCTGCGTGCACACACACAGTTCCTTTCTCCGCCAGCTGGGAGGGTCTGTGAACTGCGGCACCCCAGTAGTGACAAGCAGATCTTGGTTTCTAATACCATTCTTCACTTAGAAAGAAGCCAGGGCTCCTTCTGGAAAAGGCTGATTCCAAGACTGGGACAAGAAATAGACAAGACGAGCCTAGAGTAAATAAGGAAGTGCTCAGAACACCCCGCAGGCACCAACCGAAGGAACTCCCAGTGGCCAAAGATGGAACGATTTGAGAAATGAAATAGTAGTTTTGGATTATAACCCCAAGTACAAAATAAATTCCATGAATCCATACTGATACAAACACATGGAATAATTAATTGGGGAAGAAGAGAAAAATCTCCTGAGCAGAAGGACTCCAAGTGGTTATGTGGATGCTTCGCTCCCCAGGAGCGGGCACAGGGCTCCCCACTCCCCTCTGTACACAGAGGTACAGAAGGAGTCTGCACAGGTCCGCAGAGACCGCCTTCCAGAGGGGGCAGTGCGGAGACCCGAGGGTTCGGAGAGTGGCTCTCCGGTGGAGAAGGCTGACAAGTACCACCCCTGCCCGGTGACCGAGGCTGACATCCCAACATCAGCGGGATCGGTCACACTGATAGAACGTACCCTCGCTGTGATGTAATGGATGGCATGTCTCCGCCATTCCCTGGTCTTCTGCCACAGACTCCTCGCTTGAGCTGAGTCACGAGAAAAACATCGGACAAACCCTAACAGAACAACGTTCTGCAGAATTCCTGACCTCTCAAAGCTGCCAAGCTCGTCAAACCTGAGGGGATGAGGAGCCTAAGGAGACATGGTGACTGAAAGCAGTGTGGCACCCTGGGACAGAGGAAAATCCAGATAACGGATGAGCTCTAGTTGACAATAATGTATCGATACCATTTTATTAATTGTAACAAATACAGCCCGCTAATGAAGACATCTATCATGGAGGGACTTAAGTGTGGGGGGACTCTCTCTATTATCTTTATAATTTTTCTGTAAATCTAAAACTATTCTAAAGAAAGAGCCTATTTTTTAAATGTTATTTGAACTCAAG